TCCTTCCCTCATTTCCTTCCTCGTCTCCTTCCCTCCTTTTCTTCCCTCCTTATCTCCTTCCCTGCTCTCCTTTCCTTCCTCCTCTCCTTCTCTCTTTTCCTCTCTATCCTTGTCTCCCTCCCTCCTTGTCTCCTTCCTTCCTTCCCTTCCTTCCCTCTTTTCCTTTCCTTCCTCTTATCCTCTCCTTTATCCTTCCCTTCTCCCTCTCCTTTCCTCCTCCTTTCCTTTCCTTCCAGATGTGGACCTGGACCGGGACCGGGTCAGAATGACGTATATATCTGTTTATGGGGGGCTCCTTCCTTCCCTCCTTTCCTCTCCTCCCTTCCCTTCTTCTTCCTCCTCCTCCGGTTCCTGTTTGTCCAGAGCGGCGTAACACCGCCATCTAGCGGCCGCAGCGCGCATGCGCAGTTTGATCCATAGATGAACAGAAATACTCCCCCAGATTCAGACTCATTCAGCCCCAAAAAGACCCTGAAATCAGCTTTAATCTGATTTGGTTTGGATTAAAAGAAGAAACAAGAAGAAGTGAATTATTATGGAGTTAAACTGGTTATTTGTAATGTGAAAATTTCCCCACTGTGGGATCAATAAAGTCTTCTATTCTATTAATTCGTGGGATTATTTCATCTTCTGTTGTACAAACTGACATATTTCCATCATTTTTGTCAAATAAACTCACATTTTTAGGGGGATTTTTCACTTTAAGCCTCATTTGGTCCTTTTGGATTATGAAATCAACCCTTTTCCATATTATTTTCAGCCCCAAACAGGAAGAATCTCAGGAAACCTGCAGCTTTCTGTAGGAATTTCTGATTTCCAGTTTAATTTTCAGATATTAAATAATCTTATTATGAAAAACTGATCTATTATATGAATTTACTGTCAGATTATCTCATATTTACAGAGGCAGTGTTCATAAAACCGCATTTAAACTGTTTAAATCTGAGACATTATTTGATTTCCTTCTGTAATTTATCTGATTCCTTCATTAGTTTTGTGTTTTTACATCAGTTTCTTAGAGAAACATGGACATATTTCCATTATTTTTATTTTTAAAATTCTTGTTTTCAGGGAGATTTTCCAAAAAACTGAGCAAAGAGACACTTTAAGCCTGAGAACAAGCTAATAAATGTTCATAAAACTGAATTTAAACTGTTTAAATCTGAGAAATTCTGATAGTATTTGTGGTGTATCTGAATACTGTGCATTAAGTTGATTTCCTTTTGTAATTTATATGGTTCCTTCATCAGTTTTGTGGCATTACATCAGGTTATTACTTAAAAACTGACATATTTCCATCATTTTGTCAAATAAACTCATATTGTATGGGAATTTTTCCCCAAAATGACCAAAAGAAAGACTTTAAGCCTCATTTATTCCTTTTAGGTCATGAAATTCCAACACATTTACACATATTTCCCACTTATTTAAGTACTCAAACAGAGCAGAACAGGAAGCATCCAGCTGGTTTTCACAGTTTTAATCAAACATAAACTTTTTATGATGAAAATAGCCGATAAAAACCCGGAAAAACGCTTTTAAAAAATATTTGTTTGGAGGGACAACTATGAGTTTAGTTCGCGTTTGCAGCCGGAAAACGGAGGAAGGAAACAGCCGATGAGGGAAGGAGGCGAGGAAAGGAGGCGAGGGAAGGAGATGAGATGGAGGGAG